AGAGAGAGAGAGAGAGAGAGAGAGAGAGAGAGAGAGAGAGAGAGAGAGAGAGAGATGGAGGGGGGAGAGAAGAGATGAAGTCCTCCTCGCTATCTCACCTGCAGGTCGCTGTCACCATACTGACTGCGTCCGTCGTCGTGTGCAGGTACCGTGTGGAGCCCAGCGATGGCGCCAGGTAAGCTCGCCGACTGCAGGTATGGCCTCCACCACCCCCTATCTCCTCTATGTCCTACTCTCTACTCCGCGGCTTGGTGCAGCAGAGCGCAGCCTCCAACCAGCAGCGTGTCGCTCCAGAAGTGAGATACTCGAACTGTCCCCTGCCCAGCCGTGGCCAAGCTATTTGTAGCGCTGGGCGGCTGGGCCTACCCGGTGATGTGTGGCCTAGAACGGCCTAGCTGGTCTGGGTCCCTACCGGACGTCCAGACCCTGCTGCTGATGCAGCATGGCGCAGAAATGCGCCTGGCCTAAAAACGGCCTCCTACCGGTGCACCTGGCCCAAGATGTCGTCTTGGGTCCTGCAGGACCGAAACGATGCCTGTACCTACCGGTTTGGCGCCAAAATGCGTCTGGCCTCGTTTTGGGCCTGCCTCCGGTGTACCCAGTCCAAAGGTCCGGCCTTGGGGCTTCCAATCGAAACGACACCCAAACAGACAAAAATAAGAGAGCACACATACACAAAAAAAAGGTAACTAAAATAAACCTATCTACCTAGTGTGCTGCCTAGGGCCTGGAGGGCCGTCGTGGGCCTCCAGGGCACGTGCTGGATGGTACAAGGCCTAGGGGCCCCTCAGCAACCATCGGGCCCCTCAAATGGGGCATGGTGCAGCATGTAACACCCCCCCCTCCTTATGAAGTCAAGCCGGTCGGGGCCGAAGCTAACAATCTGAAGGCGGTACTTGGGCGCGTGTGTGTCGTGGAGCCGAAGATGCCGGCTTGCCTTTCAACTTCTGTTCATAGCGTGCGAGAGCATCAGCCGTTGTTGCGTGAAGTTCCGCACGAGTCAGCCATCGGTCAGCTCTATGGGTGCAATATGCAAAGTGGACCAAAAATTCAGTCCGCCTGTTGCCGTAACATCGCTGGGATATTATGTCGCCAACCTGTTGGAAACCGTCCATCGAGGGTGGGTCTTGCGATCGTCGCCAAGGAAAATCGTCAAGTTCCGCTGGCATGTAGAGAGCCAACTTGGAACAGTAAAAAACCGGGTTGACGGGCAAGTGGGCGGGCACCTGAATGATAAACGAAGGTCCTTTGGGTGCATCCCCAGCGGGTGCCACGATTGATCAGGGCCCCATCCATTTCGGAAGGAGCTTGCGAGAGATATCTTGTTTGAGGCTGAATTCCGCAGTGGAAACCCATACGAGGTCGCCGGCGCGGAATGGACAAGGAAGACGCTGACGGTTGGCTTGTTGGCGCATACGTTGTTACGTCTTTGCCATCTGGTCGCGTGCCTTGACAAGAAGCTCTTGCATCCGATGAATGAAGAGAAGGCGGTCATCGCTCTCGGCCGCCCGTGGAATGATTGTGTCCAACTAAGAATTGACCGGCGAGCCGTGCTCGAGCTCAAACTTGAAAGGCGATGTCCCGATAGCTGGATGGATGGACGAGTTGTTTGCCAACTCCATATCCGGCAGCCGCTCAACCTACTCTTTCTGGTCGGGATGGATGAGAGTTCGAAGGAGGACCTGTGCGGTCTGATGTGCCCTCTCCGTTTGGCCACCGGTTTGGGGGTGGCGAGCCGAACTTGGCTTGAGGGATGAGCCCCATCGTTTGATGAGCGCCAACAAAACATCAGACATGAACCGAGTGTCGCAATCGCAGACGATCTCCTTGGGGTAACCCTTGGTTCGAATCCAACCGGCGTAGAGAACCTCGGCCAACTCCGGTGCCTTGGAATGATAGCGGCAAGGAAAGAACATGGCAAACTTGGTGAGTCGGTCAACCACCGTGAGAATCTCATCCACACCCGTCTTGTGCTTGGGGAACGGCCTGGTAATATCCATGGCAATCGCTTCCCTTCGACGCAAGGGGACCGACAATGGTCGCAGTTCGCCGTACAGACGATGATTGCATGATTTGCAACGTCGGCAAACCTCGCATGACTCACAATAGCGCATGACGTCGTCGAGAAGACCGGGCCACCAAAAGCGCTCGCGTAGTCGGCCAATCTTGAGATTGACTCCTGAATGCCCGGTGGGGGGGGCGTCGTGGAACTCGCCAAGAAGCCGCATGTGCAAGTGTGAATCTTGTGGCACACAAAGTAGATCCTGCCCCCGCGAGTGAACGAGCAAGTATCCCTCTTGGATCCGATAGTGCGAAGGCGCCGGACTGGGAGAGGAACAGTTTGTGTACTTGTCTCGAAGTTCGGGGTCGGATTGATAGCTGAGGATGAAGCTGTCCCGCAAGTCATCCTCGATCTCGAAGGTTGAGTAGACTTCGGTGCAGTGGTCCGGACGCCGTGAAAGGGCATCCGCGAAACGGTTCGACCTCCCCGGAATGTGATCGGGAAAGAAGTCGAATTGGTCGATGAAGGCCATCCAACGGTTTATGGTGTTGTTGACGGTGTTCTGAGACTTGTAGAAGACCAACGGATTGCTGTCCGTTACCCATCGGAACTGGCGTCGACCAAGGAGGAAGTGCCGCCACCTCTCGAGTGTGTGGACGAAGGCAAGAAGTTCCTTCTTCCGTGCATCATCGATGGAGTGCACGACCGACACTTTCTTGCTGAAGTATTCGACTAGGTTCCAGTCCACGCCATCATGTTGTTCGAGGACAGCATCAATGCCATAGTCGGACGCGTCCGTGGTGACACGTGTTGGCAATAGCAGGTCGTATATCCGCAATACCTCCGCGGAGAGCAACGCGGCCTTGAGGGCCAAGAATGATTCACGCGCGTCCGTTCCGAAGTCAAACGGTCGGTCCTCGCATTGAAGCTTGGTTAAGTGAGCCGCGATCTTCGAGTACCCTTTGATGAAGCGTTGGTAGTAGCCGACAAGGCCAACGAAGGATCGGACATCCGTGACGTTCCGTGGCTCCGGCCAATCTTGGACGGCTTGAATCTTGTCCGACAGCAGACTGATGCCTTGTGGAGTAACGAAGTGGCCCAAGTATTCCAACTCTTGGCGTACGAATTCACACTTGTCGCGGTTGGCTTTGAACCTGGCGCGCTGGAATGTCTCCAACACTCGTCGAAGATGGTCAAGATGTTCCTCCAAGGTCCGGCTATAGACGAGGATGTCGTCCAAGTAGACCAGCACGAACCGGTCCAACATTGCACGAAACTCGTTGGTCATCGCCGCTTGAAAAGTCGTCGGGGCATTGGTGACTCCAAAAGGCATGACGACCTACTCGAAGTGCTCGTACCGTGTCTTGAACGTGGTCTTGTAGCGATCTTGCGGCCGAATCAAGATCTGATGATATCCTGACTTCAAGTCCAGTTTGGAAAAAAAAATTGCGCCACCCAAGCGCTCCAGAAGGTCGTCAATACGAGGAAGAGGTCCCGCGTTACTGCGGTAATCGATGCATAGGCGAAGGTCCTTGTTCTTCTTCCGAACGAAGAGAACCGGCGCACCATAGGGTGAGCTGCTAGCCCGGATCCAGCGTTTGTCCAACAAGTCGTCGAGCTGCGCGCAGAGTACAGTAAGTTCCTCCTCGCTCATGCGATAAATGCAACCTTTTGGCGGCACGACACCGGCCTCGAGAAAGATCTCGTGCGAGATCGGTCGATCCGGCACCACGCCGGTAGGTGACTCGAAGACGTCGGCGAATTCGTCGAGCAACCGCGCCACCCGGGGGTCTGAAGACAAGTCCGTGGGTTGAGATTCGGCTACCATGACGGTTCGAAGAAAACATAAGCCCATCTCTTCGGTCCGCTCGTAAGCGCAAGTGGCCCGAAAAGATTTGGCTGTTACAACTTGGCACCGGATCGAAGGGTGCGGGAGAGGAATAGTACATGGTACTTCGGCGCCAAACGCATCGCGAACCGTAAGTGTCCGCCGATGGAAGTTGACCTCGTGATCCGCACTTGCAAGCCAAGGCATGCCCAGAATGATGTCGAAGTCCGTGTCCAAGACGTCAAACGTCACCGGTTCGCATGCATGAGGTGCGAAATAAACCGGGACGGCTTCGATGTAGTGATCAAAGAGTTGTTGCGTTCTTTCGTCCGCCAACTTGATCGACGTAGGGTGTGCCTTCCTTCGAACTTGTGGTCCAAGGCTAGCCCTTTGCATGAAGGACTGGCTAATGAAGTTGCGAGTCGCGCCGCTATCCAGCAAAGCGCTGCGAGACGCTTGCCCGATTTGGATGCGGACATAAAGGAGCGGTATATTGTTGTCGTCGTACCGCTGCGTGCGAAACTCGCGGGCCACCTTGCTCACATACGCAAGAATGTCCCCCACCGCGACTTCGTCCTCCGTCAGCGAAGTTGGTGGTGCATAGAAGGCTAGGTATGTATGGAGATGAGCGCCAAGAGTTGCGCATTGCGGCTCCGGTAAGCAACCGGTGGAAGAGAGAGGAAGCCATGCAAAATCCTCGGGCGTCAATGGGTCCAAGTCCTCTATGTTGAACGTGCACGCCGAATCCCGTGAAGGTCCACTTGAAGACGAATCAATGTCGCCGCTTCCGATCGGAGAAGAAACTGCACATACATCCTGTCCTTGGGCTCGTGAATTCAGCGAAGGTACGAGCCGAGCAGCATAGTCCTCGAAGGAATGAAGAATGGGAGGACTTACGACGTCCGCATGTGCCCCGGAACCGAGGGAGGTTACTCGTACGGCAACCGGTTCCGTAGGCGTCGAGAGTGTTGTCGCATCACTCTCGGCGGTGCTCACTTTCCCGACTGGGCGGTACCCTTGGCCTTCGTGGGACAGCTCGATGTCTCATATGCTGAGCTGTTGCACCACAAGCAATAGCGGTACTTGGTGTGAACGAGGTACCCGCGCTCCGTAAGCCCATACGTTGTCCAAGGTCCTTGCTCTTGAGCTGCTTGCCCGGGCCCAGAAGAAGTAGTGGTGTTCGTCTTCGTCTTGCCGCGTCCTCGTCCTTTTGGTGGGGCGGCCACCATTTTGGGCAACTGCGAGTTTGTCTCCCTCGTCAGACAAAACAGCCTCGTTTAGAATTGAACGGTCGCTAGGCGTTGCCGCTGCGACCACGACCACTTTCGGCCGATGCTGATGCGCGCCCTGGCCGACAGTTGACGAGTGGCCCGTATTCTCGGCTGCCAAATTCGTCACGATGATCTGCGCGGCTTTGTTGAAGAGTTCTTCACTTGTGTTGAGGTTCTCGACGACTTCAGTTAATGTATTCTGCAACGCTGGGCACGATCGCTTGATGAAGTAAAGCTTGATGTCGTCGAAGTTCATCGGCAACTTGGGCGTGCTTGCCAGCCGTTGAAACTTAGAAATCCAGTCTCTGCTTGGCATGTTGTTCGGTGAAAACGTCAGTTGCTTGTCCATCGCCTGGTGCTCGGGCGGTTCTACTTGGAAACGCTTCTTCCATGCCGCCGTGAGGTCCTCCCAGGTGATGTACTTGTGTAACTCGGTGACTGTACATGCATGTGCGGACAACATGTTGTCCAACCATGCCTGACACGCGCCTCCCGAGCGGGAGTACAAATATGCATGCCGGTTCGCGTCGATGACGTGGTGGATGTCCAACTTGAGTTCAAACTGGCGTTACCATTGGATGGGGTCGGTCTTCGATGCGTCACAGAAGATCGGGAGCCCATCGAACTTGGCAATAGTTTCACGTGTCGTTGCGCTAGGGCCGACCGCTGCAGAAACCTGTTGTTGCAGCTGTTGTGCCCCACTCTTAAGTGTTCCCACGTCTACCTCCAAGACATTGACGTGGTCCACGAGATCGGAGGGCGGTGGCGACCTACTGCTCCAGCTGCTATATGCGCTTGAGCATCTGGTCCACCGACTTCTGTAACACCTTGTTGGTGTGGTCGAGGGAGTAGATGTCCTCCTGCTGCGCGATACAAGTCACAAGGAGGTCCATGACACGGTTGAGCAGATGAGATACCCTGCTCCCGTTGTCGACGGATTCGCCGCTCTCGGCTTCCCTTTGCTAGTCCTTGGCTTGTGCATGTAATGCACCTTCCTCCCTGAATATGACTTCGCGTCGCCGCACACGTTCTTCATCAGCGGCCTTGGCTGCTGCTGCCACGTGTTTCTGTCGCTGTTCTTCGACCAGCAGACACAGTCTCTCTGCCTCTGCTTCCCGCTTCTTCTGTGCCGCTGCCGCTGCGTCTGCCCGCTGCTTGGTTTCGGCCATGATGGCCGCCAACCATGCCTCGTAGGCCTCATCAGTCTCGCCTGCCTTCTAATCCATCTCGGTTGTATTTGAGCGAGTAAGTATGGCCATGGCCTGCGGGTGCATGACGTGGGCTTCTAACGTGAGGACTTACCTGGTCTGCAATTTACAGGGAATGGGCAGTTAAGAAGGACAGAGAAGGGATGAAGAGTGAGGGAGGAGAGAAGGGGAGTGGGGATCGAATGGGTCACCCAAATAAGGAGCCACTAATCAAAAAAATTGGGAACTTGCAGCAATTTCGAGAAAAAGAAAAAAAAATCGAATTTGCAAGCTCGGTAGGCCCCCCCCAAGTATCCCCTCAGCAGTAAAAAAATTGGAATTTCAGACAGCGAACGAATTCAAAGAATAAATGGAGATGATGGGAATAGCTAAACTGCGAAAACGGACAAAAATAACGATTTCCGCAAGTCCAGAAAATTCCGAGGTAGAAAAAAATTCGGCATATGTTAAGGGAGAGTATGCGCAGTTTGAAAACGAACGTTTGTAAGAGAAGTTTCCCGAAAAAGACAATTTACGAATTTAAAATGAATTTCGAAAAAAAAAATTGGGATTGAAAAACGACTTTCAGAAAAAAAATCGAAATTGAAAAAAAAAGGAAATTTCAGAAAAATTTCGAAATTGAAAATCAAATTTCAAAAAAATTTCTGGAATTTAAAAACTTATTTCTGGAAAAAAAATCGGAATGGAAAAACGAATTTCAGAAAGATTTTCGGAATTGAAAAACGATTTTTAGAAAAAAATTCGGATTTGAAAAACGAATTTCGAAAAATTTTCGGAATTGAAAAACGAATTTCAGAAGTAACAGGAATTTCGTGAAGGAATACAATCGAAACTTTTGAAAAAAATAAAAGTAAATTCCCGGATCTCTCAGCCACGAAATTTCGAAAATCGAAAATTTCTAGTGTTGCGCTATCGCGATTTCCCTCAACAAAGTAGCGGGAAAATGAAATCCGAAAAAGAAGAAAAAAATTTTGATTTCAGCAGTTAGGTACAAATTCGCGATTTGTGGACTAATTACTGTAACCTTATCAATCAATCAACAATCAATCAATCAATCAATCAACGATTAATGCAAGGAAAATAAGCAACATCGAGATGACAATCCCAGATAACACCATCACATTGCAAGCCAAATAGTCACACCGTGTCCAGATAGGAGCATTGCACCAATAATACACCAATGGAGTTTCGTAGCACTGAAAACCAATGTCCATGGAGAGCACACTCTCTCCTCTCAACAAAAGAGTCCAGTTCCCTTACACTCACACTTGGCGCTCAGCGCCCAGCCTACTCCTACACAGCTATAACAGACTACAAAAAGACAATGCAACTGTTGACATCAGCAGCAGCCCGAAGTACTTGAAGATGCCGCCCATGCAGACAATCGCCAATACAAGGTACGTGCCATCACATCATCATCATCATCATCATCCTTCACCTATCCCCTGACTTCACCCACACCTGTCCTCTCTGTCACCCGAAGACCACCCCTGCGCTTCACTGTAGTCCAAGCCCACCAGCTATGGTGGCTGGGCTATGGCGCTGCCCTYAGCAGCGCCCTCCTCCTCTGCACGACCGCATGTGCTGCACCTCGCCTCCCAGTGCTAGCAGCAGCCTACGAGCATAAGCTCTAGCAGCGCTGCCGCCCAGCATGCAAGTGCCTGAATGAGGCAGCCAGGGCCGAGCTCTTTCCTTTATGGAAAGAGTTGGCCTGCTCATGCAGCCTGGCTGCCTTGGCCTGAGCCCAGAAGCTTCTGGAAGGCCCCAAGAGGCTGCCTGGATGCAGCAGCTACTGGGATGCTGGGCCTCGTTCGGTTGGGTGCCCAACTGTCTCTGTATGAGGCTGCGAATCACGGCCAGGGCCTGCATTCTTTGGAAAGGCCCGGTAGGCCGTGGAAATGTCCTTGTTGTTCGGCCTGTGTTTCTTTCAACCAACTGGCGCGTCGCAAATGCCTGAACCTCAAATATGAAATTAACAGTCGAAGTTCTTTTGCAAAAAGCCAGGCCCGCCTTCATTTAGGGCGGGTAAGGTTGCAGACAGGGCCCCATAGGCCTACCGAGGACCCTGATCCTCGCATTCCCTCCTCCTCAACTTCATGAGCCCCCTAAGAAGTCTTCTTATTCCGCAGGCATCTTCCCTTTCCGTTCTCTTTCATAGCGTGCAATCACTTGAGGTGTTGTTCTCATGAGTTCTTCTCGTGTGAACCAGCAATCTTCCTTGGGATTGAGGTGATGTTTGAAGCTCACCCGATAATGCATTCTTGGTTTAGGCGGTCGCCCTCTGCCTGATGGTCGAGGAACAGGCATCATTCGATGCTCGACGATCTGGTCAATGTCCACTTCGCCATCCATGGTTGGGGGCAGCATAGATCTCCGAGAGGGAAACAGGTCAGGATAAGTCCGTAAGTGTGCAGGGATGCGAATCACGTACGAAGGCCCATCCGGTTGATCCCCTACAATACCTAACATCTCCCAGGGCCCAAAGTACTGAGGCATCAATTTTCTTGAGATCCCTATTTCGTGTCCTAGTTCAGATGATTTCACCCAGACTCTCTCACCTACCTGAAAGTTAGAAGGCCGTCTATGTTTGTTCTCAGATGCAATCATAGCATCTTGAGATTTCTCAATATGTTCAACGGCCTGCTGCAACATCTGCTCATATTTGACAACAAACTCTATGCTGCCAGGTGCTGCAGTAGGTTGTCTTTCTGGTAACAGAAAATCAAGCGTGGATCTGGGCTTCCAACCAAGATGTAACTGGTTGGGAGTCATACCGGTGGTGCTATGCACAACATTGTTGTACAGGCTGGCAACGAGAGGTGACTTCTAGTCCCAGTCATCCTAGCTTGGCTTAATATAATGCCTAAGCAGGTGTTGCACTACCCGGTTCATCTGTTCTGCCTGGCCATTTGACTCAGGGTGATTCCCTGACGTCATTTGGAGCTTTGTGCCCATTTGCTCAGCAGTTGACTGCCACAGTTCACTTGTGAACTGGACATTTCTATCACTAACGATATATGTAGGTAATCCGAAGTCACGTACCCAATTGTCCATAAACAGTTTGATGACGTGGTCAGTTTTAGCTGTTTCTGGCATAGCGATTAGTCTTGCATACTTAGTAAAGCGGTCCACTATTACGAAGATGTGTCTCTTTCCAGACTTACTGGTCACAAGAGTATCCATGAAGTCCATGGATACACTTTGACCAGGACCTTCAGGAATCAGCAAGGGTTTGAGGAGCCCAAGCGGCGCCTGAGTCCTTGGTTTGCCCCGTTGGCAAACCTGGCAGGTTTCAACATATCGTTTTGCATCTTCCATCATAGAGGGCCACCAGAATCTCTGAATTAAGTTTGCTGCTGTCTTCTTATAGCCAAAATGACCTGTTGCATCGTGACACTCTCCTAAAAATAAACTACGCAAAGACTCGCTATTAGCAACATATAGTGTTTTATTCCCTGCCTTATCGAGGAACAACAAGCTGTCTACCATCGTAAATTCATCCAAAGTCTTTTTATCCTTTGCCTTGAATCTACGAATGATCTCGGACATGACAAGGTCTCCCTGATAGGCTTCCACCAACGATCGAGTGAGGTTATTAGATATGCCAAAGTCAGTTACTAGCGCGCCCAGATAATATGCCCTTCTTGATAGCGCATCAGCCACTTTGTTATACGTACCTTTAATAGGATCAAGTTGATAGTCATACATGTCTATCACTTGAATCCATCTCTTGAGTGCGTCCGACAAGACTGACTGTGTCTTAATCCAGCCCAAAGTTTCATGGTCCGACGTCATATAGAAAAGACTTCCTAGGAGGTAGTGTCTCCAATGAACTAGCGCTCTGTACAGGGCGTAGAGCTCTCTCTCATAAGTGGACTTGACCAACTTCTGAGATGGCATCTTCTTGCTCATATACTCGATTGGCCTCAACTTGGGCCCTTCCTGTTGCGCAAGGACCGCGCCTATGCCATATTAGCTAGCGTCTGTGGTCACAACAAATGGTTTGTCAGGATCAGGAAGTTTGAGAACTTCATAGTGCGTCAGATCATACTTCAATTTCTTGAATCTTGCCTCACACTCTTCAGTCCACTCCCAAGGGGTGTCAAGTCGAGTTAGATCTGTTAATGGGGAAGCTATAGTACTATAGTTCTTCATAAACGGACGATAATAGCCCGTCATCCTCAAAAACGATCTGACCTCGGTAAAAGTTTGAGGTCTGGGCCAGTCACGTATGCTGGCCACCTTCGCATCTTCCGGCCTCAATCCATCTGCTGAAATTTCATGACCCAAGTACAAGATCTTGGTGCAACCAAACTTGCATTTATCCAAGTTTACCTTGTACTGGTGCTGTCTCAGGAGGCCTAGCACTGTTTTCAAGTGCTCAGCGTGCTCCTCTACAGTCCTACTAAAGATGAGAATATCGTCGAGGTACACGACGATAAACTTGTCCAAGTAGT